TACTCGTATACTCCCATTTTCTAAAACAAATGCTACGATTTATAAAAATCAAAGATCTGCTACTTCTCGTTTGCATTTCATTTACGTTCATCATGGATTACTTTAAGTCTTAAATCAATCAGACTCTACCACCGTCGCTGCTGGTCACAGCGACGAACTTATTTCACCATCCAGATCTGACTACTACACCCTCCACGGGTTAAGCGCGCTTTATAAATTGATAATTACTATAGGAGCGGCCGTGTCGTTGTAATACATGGTCGTAAACCAAAGTAATTGCCCCAAATCCAGCAAACCTCGCTGGTATCATCGCAAAATGTTCATTATAGGAGCGGTCGTGTCGTTGTAATACACCGTAAACCGAAATGTTAATTCAAAACCCAACAAACAAATCGTTGGTCTCTACGCGATATCGTGTTCATTATAGGAGCGACTATGTCGATGTAGTACATGGTCGTAAACAGATGTGATCATCAGAATCCAACTACTTAGTCTTTGGTTTTTATACAATAAAGTGTTCATTATAGGAGCGGTCGTGTGGATGTAATACATGTAAATGTTGGTTTATAAGAAATGATCATCAGAAAACCCAACAACTTAATCGTTGGTTTTTACACAATAACGTGTTCATTCTCGGAGCGGGCATGTAAACGTAGATTTGCCCGTAAACCAAGATGATCATCAGAAAACCCGACAACCTACTCGTTGGTCATTACGCAATAAAGCAGTCATTCTCGGAGCGGCGCAGACTCGCCCGTAAACCGAAATGATCATTGTAAAACCCAACTGACTTTTTGCTAGTCCCAACAACAATTGATCTTTGGAAACAAACCAATCAACGACAGTTTGCCTCGAAACCAGGACAACCATCGTTTGAATTCAAATCGCTAGCTCTAAAACAATAACATAATGGGGACAAGCCTGTCAATGGTAACTCGCCAACAGACTCATCACCTTATCAATGCTAAGGTTTAAGAACTTAGCAGTAAAACAGTTCGCCCGTAAACCAAGAAGATCATCAGCAAACCCAGCAAACAAATCGTTGATCATAACACCTCTTGGACGAAACACCGGACTGACATCAAAATTATCCACGTTGTGTTAACGGCATGACCAAGAATTCGAAGAGTCAGAAACCATTCTTTTTGCCTCACCATTTCCAAAGCTTCACCTAGTCAAGAACAACTTTTTCACCTCATGATTTCACCAAGCTCTAACTTTGCAAAATCTACTTCAATTCTTCAAGTCGATGACTTTGCTCCGTTTTTGCCACAATCAAATCCACTTCACTCAAACTCGCTGGGTGAAAAGATGATTTGTCATCTTCGAACTCATCGTCAACACAAGGTCACCTTGTCGATGTCAACACGATTCCACCTCAGTGTCAAGTCAACACAAGTCCACATTGGTTTCAGGTAAACATGACCACCTCGCCGTCAACGAAGTCCTAAATCTGATATTTCACCTCGTCGTCGTCGCATCACCTCGTCACCGATGTCACCTTCCAAAGGAGCTCTACTTCACCTTATTAC